TATAATGATTTATATTTGGTTTTTCAACCCAAAAGGAATCTTTTGCAACACATGAACTTAAAAGCCAGAATCAGAGAGTTGGAAGATCACCAGGAGGATGTTATTCGGGCTTAAAACTAAAAACAGGATTTTCTGTCATTCTTATAAAGCACTCTCATCTAAAAAGAGCTGGGCTTGCTTAGTGATATTTCAATGCAAAATATTGACCTTCCAGTCCACAGTTTGGTCTCAAAGAAATGAAGCATGTTTTTTTAAATGTTGAAGCACAGATATTAGTCATAGAAGAAATAAAACATTATTCATAAATCTTGAAAACCGGCTGTAACAACTGATATACTAAAGCATCATTCATAAACTTAATTTGCGCATACGTAATAACTAGAGTAGAAACGGAGCTGTATCCCACAAAGTTTGATTTTTTTTATATCAACCAAACAAGAAGGTAAAGTAAAATTCATGAAAGTTTAGTTGAAAAAAATAACCGTTAAGTTGAAGCAGCATTTACAAATTGGAGTTATCAAAACTTACAACAGAATTCTTACTGAAGTAACTCTGATAATCCATGATTTACGGACAGTGACAATATTCATGAAAGTTTAGTTACAAAAAATAACCGTTAAGTTGAAGCAACATTTACAAAATGGAGTTGTCAAAACTTACAACAGAATTCTTACTGAAGTAACTCTGATAATCCATGATTTACGGACAGTGACAATATTCATGAAAGTTTAGTTACAAAAAATAACCGTTAAGTTGAAGCAACATTTACAAAATGGAGTTGTCAAAACTTACAACAGAATTCTTACTGAAGCAACTCTGATAATCCATGATTTACGGACAATGACAATAAAGTGGTATCGCTATGATAACAAAACGTGAGTTACTGTCCATGATTTACGGACAGTGACAAGGACAGTAACTCACGTTTTGTTATCATAGCGATACCACTTTAAGTAACGAGTAAAGTACAGAAGCCACACTCCTTACTGTTTGTTGTAGGGTAAAGCTACATGATGGTCTGTCTGCACTATGTATCCTGCAGGGATCGAACCCGGAATTTAGCACTATTATCTCCCCCCCGAAACTCGCCACTGGGACATCTCGTTAAAAAGTAACGCTATCACAATATTTCACCTTTAAGACAATTTCGAAATGTGCTTCAATTCCATTTGAAGTCCACAAATTACGCTGAAGCAAGTGAGTTTTTAGAAAATATTGTTCGTTTGTTTGTTTGTTTTTGAATTTCGCGCAAAGCTACACGAGGGCTATCTGCGCTAGCCGTCTCTAATTTAGCAGTGTAAGACTAGAGGGAAGGCAGCTAGTCATCATCACCCACCGCCAACTCTTTGGCTACTCTTTTACCAACGATTGACCGTAACATTATAACGTCCCTACGGCTGAAAGGGCGAGCATGTTTGGTGTGACGGGGATTCGAACCCGCGACTCTCAGATTACGAATCGAGTGCCCTAACCACCTGGCCATGCCGGGCCAAAACAAAGCCATAATGCTAATTGTGGAAATTTTGTACAGATTCTAAAGAAGTGTGTGTTTGTAATTAAGCATAAAGCTACACAATGGGCTACCTGTGCTCTGCCCACCACGGGTATCGAAACCCGGATTCTAGAGTTGTAAGTCCGCAGACATATCGCTGTGCCACTGGGTGGGGTGTTTTAGTGAACGCTCCTGAAGAAGCTGTAAAGCGAAACGTTGAGTGTTTAATTAAACAAAAAACAACATTTTGGTGTAATAAGGTCGTTTATTTCTAGTATTAATATGTATTCTATACACCAATATCCACTACAGAAATTAAATAATCTTCAATAAGTAGTAAAATATGAAAATGATTAAATTTTAATTCATTATTATAAGGTGCTGGACCAAAACGTACCATGCCAGTAGGAATGAGGCCTCATGCAAAAAAATGTATAATGTACCCACGTTAGTAATCACAGGTTTAAAAGTATCTGATAGTTTATTACTACAATCTTTGGAGACATACCCTCACGTATTAGTGCCCCTTTTCTTGGAAACGAATCTATTTATAATCGATTAAAAAACACAGTAGAAATCACCAAGATAACACTTACGTTTAATTATGGATAGTCAATAGGAACAACAACAAGTATTTCGTTCTTAATACCACTTATATTGGTCTTGATTTGAATATAATTATTCCTATGAACTACACATGCTCCTTATGCGCTTTTTTTATGCGTAAACAGTCAGACATTTGGGAAATCACAAGGAAATAAAACGAGTTAAGATTTTGCATGGACAATAAGGTAATACTAAGAAGTTTGTTAAAGAAGGAGGGTGTGTGTTTGTTGAACAACGCGAGAGGCTATAAATCAATATTTTAATTTTATTTAGAAGAACAATTTAGGAGCCTGCATATGGCGAATTGGTTATCCTTCATTTAGTTTGACAAATCCACCCTGCTTACCGACCGTGAAAGATTTATGATAGTGTCTTTAATGTTGGCATGTAATTAGTTCTAGTCAACCTTTTTGCAATAGAGGGCGGTCTCTAAAAGTTCAGACACCTGAAATGAAAAAAAAAAAAAAAACCTGTAGTGCCGAACCATGTAAATTTAGTACACTTTGCTCAAAGGGCTTCGTGTTAAGAAATACTAAGGAAAAGCAAGTAAAATATTGACGAACTACGAACTTTTATTAAAATGTATTAACCAAATATACTTTTCTTTCTGATTTTCACATTCTGAATATATATATACTAAAAACCTAGGGTAATTACTGTAAAAACCTAGGGTAATTACTGTAATATTTCGTCTTTGAGCAGTCATTCGTAAATTTCTCACACCAAATTATAAGCTATATTGCTTGTCCAGAACCAATTAAAGCTTTCTATTTAACAACCGGATAAATTATACATGTAATGCGTACAAACAGCAAAAAAACTAGGTCGATTTCCTTAAATATCAACAAGTTGTTGAAAGAAAAATAGCTCCAAAATGGGGGGGGGGGATATAAGGTGCATTCAATTTAATCATCGTTTTGTATGTAAGTAAATGAAGAGAGTTAAGGACGGGGTGAACACGGACATTTACAGACCAATATCATATACATGGTGGATCTTGTTATGTGTGTGTTTTTTCTGATAGCAAAGCCATATCGGGCTGTGTCCACCGGAGGGAATCGAACCCCTGATTTTAGCAATGTAAATCTGTAGACTTACCGCAATCCCAGCGGGGAACCATATAGTGGAGAGGTAGAGAGAAAAAACTGATATATCATTCATAGACCAATGTCATACGCATAGTGGAGAGAGAGAGAGAGAAAGACGAAATTGACGTACTATTCGTAGACCAATGTCATGCGGATAGATGGGGAGAGAAAGAAAAAAACGAAAGTTTCATTCGTAGACCAATGTCATACAGATAGTGAGAGAGGGAGAAAACACTGACATATCATTCGTAGACCAATATGTCATACAGATAGTGAAAAGAGGGAGAAAACACTGACATATCATTCGTAGACCAATATGTCATACAGATAGTGAAAAGAGGGAGAAAACACTGACATATCATTCGTAGACCAATATGTCATACCGATAGCGAAGAGAGGGAGAAAACACTGACGTATCATTCGTAAAACAATGTCATGCGTATTGTAAAGTGAGAGCAAACGAAAAGAATAAATTATAGACTTTGAGACAAAAAAAAAAAAGAATATTTTTTTAATTTAGTACTTTTCATACTGTTCTTCCATGACAAGGTTAAAAAGAGCCTTCGGTCAGTAATTTCAAGATCTTTTTTTAAGAATTCTGGTAGATTAATGCTAGTTAGTTTTAGTAAACACAGATGTTTCTATGACATCGTTACTGATACAAATTATCATTGTTTAACAATAAACGATGTATAAGTTATGTGTTGTTGTTTTTTTTACTTTTAGTACAATTCGTCTAACATGCGTTCACCGCGAATGAAATTTACAGATTTATATTTATTCAAACTTGAATTTTCATTCACAACCAGTCTTACTAAGACAGACTATAGCAAAGCTATGCACATTAGGCGCTTTTGGAGTTACATTGTAGGTGTTCTTTTGTCAAATTATCAAGGTTTTCTTGGCATTGCCGAACACATTTATCCATCAGAACTCACTCAAAAAACAAAAAGAAACCTCTTTCACTAAAACAGTGTAAATTACCTGGTTTTAGGTATCAATAAAGTTAATCTAAAATTTAATTTCAAAGTTTTCAATAAAATAATCACTTGTAATTTGGAAGCTATAAACTTTGCATTTCTGGATACACATATTCAAAATAGCTGCTACGATGTGTACTGTTCATATGTAATTATTTACGATATAAAAATGTCATGAACGTAACTCATGAACTTATTCTTATTTTTCACAAACAAGATTTCTTTACCGCATTTTTGGACACTAAAATTATTATATTTTGCGTTAATTACTGATGTTATATTTGTTAGCAAAAAAAAAAGCTACACAATGCATTATCTGAGCTTTGTTCTCCGCAGGGAATCGAGCGCCGGATTTTAGCGTTAGTTTGTTTGTTTGTTTTGAATTTCGCGCAAAGCTACACGAGGGCTATCTGCGCTAGCCGTCCCTAATTTAGCAGTGTAAGACTAGAGGGAAGGCAGCTAGTCATCACCACCCACCGCCAACTCTTGGGCTACTCTTTTCCCAACGAATAGTGGGATTGACCGTCACATTATAACGCCCCCACGGCTGAAAGGGCGAGCATGTTTGGTGTGACGGGGATTCGAATTCGCGACCCACAGATTGCGAGTCGAGCGCCCTAACCACCTGGCCATGCCGGGCCATTTAAAATGATACAACGCCAGATTGAAGCAGGAAAAATGTATTGCATCTCAGCTTCAACAAGATGGAAAATAACAGATAATAATTGCAAGAAAGTTGTAAAACTTTGCAAAACACCTTTTCCCCAAACAACTGATATATTTACATGTTGAAATCTGGATAATTTTACACAATTATACAATATACATACATACCTTTTTTGTAAGCTCAACAATCTAAAATCCGCAAACGATAAACATTTTCGTTTCGTGCTTCGCATTAGTGATTTACACCCCATTGTTATTCTTTTATATAGCATTGATTGCTGTAGTGACGTCAGTTAACGTAATAAGCTTATTGGCCAATGAGCTAGTATAACATTTGCCGAACACTCTGCCAAGGATATGACGATAGAAGAAAAAAAAAAAGTTTAAAACTTACCACAGTTCAACCTCATTCTGCGTGAAGTACTTTTTATTTTTTAATCGATTTTAAATTGTAGATGTATAATGATATTTTTTAAACAAGTCGAAAGAATTACAAAGAGCTTAAAACAATTTGTTGTTGTTTTTATGAAAAATGAGTTATCTTGTACACTTTCTGGTAACTAGAGGTCGCAGCAGCTGCCAGAATCAAAAGTTCTGTCAAACAATTTTTTATAATCAGTTGTTTTAATTTTCATGTATATGTTCTGAAAAGATATAGAGGATATATGTAAGAATTTATCGTTCTGTTCGAGGCGTCGTAAGATATAGTTAAAACCGTTAAGCCTTTCTACGGCGCCCTGCTTTTAGTGTTTTATTGATTATAATTCGTAGATTGTATTCTAATTAATTTCAAAACCTCAAGCCTACAAACAAAATTCTACGACATTGTGGCCTGCATATTCATAGTGTATTTGTTGTGCTGATTTTCGTGTTTTCTATCATAAAAAAATATTAGTGGTATAATGTTCCTCTAAACTGAGATCTTCATAGTTATAGTTAACTTATTATAAACCAACCGTCCTAACTAAGCCTAAAATATGATATACTTCACGTGTTTTCACTGCACGTTCAGCCAACGTCGTCATAGATACATATTGTTGGCAAGATTTTACACAATAGACAGATATTATTTAAATATGAATACAGCTAAGTTACTTTGTGAAATAAATTGTTGAAGTTTGACTGATTCTGTATGATGCAAGAGTTACAAAACATTAGAAATATCTGATGAACTAAGAAATAACGTTAACCAAATTAAACATAGTCGAAATAAGAATTCAATAGATTAATTCAATTAAATTTATGTAGATACGTAAGGAGATAGACTAGATGGATATTTTTCACAAATATATACTTCTATTGGGTCAGCGATAAGATTACGGACTTACAACATTAAAATACATAATAATGGTTGGAGACGGCTTGAAAGGGTAATGAAGAAAAACTTTAATATAAGTTTAACATAACAGCAAATGTACAACGTTTCGACAACGTCTCCAACCATTATTAGTCTCAAAGTGGGTTTCTCGTCATCGAAATTAAAATACATAGATAGCCTGATGTGTGTGAAGAAAAGCATACATGTATAAAGCCATGATGCACAATAGATACAAACAATTACACAAACGTTATGACAAAATTAACCATTAAAAGTAAATACTACTTCCCATAAAATTAATTTACTGGATTGTATAAACTTAAACGTAAAAATAAATAAATACATATATATATATCTACTTACGTAAAACCGTTATTGTGAAATATAGTATTATGGATTTCCTTTTGAAATTACTGATCCATTGCGTAACTCATATATAAATATATATATATATATAATATACCGATATGTCTTTTTTTTGAAGTTTAATACTGAAAGGCGAGACTTTGTGAAGTTTGTCCTTCTAAAACAGGTGGTGCAAAAGCTGATTTTTTTTCTTCACATAATCCGAAAGTGCTGTATATTTCGGTCAAGGTTTGAAAATGCTGCCAACTCCAGTTTTTACGTATGTAGAGAAAGCTCACTGACAACTTTAAAAGAATTACAATCCTGGAGTGCTTTCAATGTCATGAGAAGTATTACGTCGCAACGTCAACCGTATAGGCTAAGAGCATATCAGAAATGAAATTATGAAGATTATGGGTTTATGAAACATAAAAAGTATTTGAATAATTCTCTCTCTCCGTTTCCTTCTCGTGATCACAGAGTGTTTAGTGAGAATACATTAAATTATTGATGGATTGTAGGAAAATGGAAGAAAAAAAACTTCTAATAGCTTTTGAATTTCACTCGACTGTCGAAGCGTGAAAACCATCTGTTGAAAATGACGTTTTTTAATTAACCAACGAAAGATGGGATGGTATAATGATTTCATAAGAGGTAATAAACATAGTTAGAAAGACTATGTCATGCACCAAAGATGAAAGGACCTATTCAGTACAAAACCTTGGTACTTTTTTTGGTTAATAAATTTACTGAAAGATTGGTGTCAATGAGTGCCTAAAATGCCCAATATCGGATTTGGCTTAAAATTTGCTCACATATAGTGACAGCTATGACAGATCGGTTCTGGCATGATATAGCCTTACTGTATCATAATTCCCAAGATGGCGGCCATTCGGATAATATTTTATGCGTTTATTACTTGTGAATTAGTTTCAGAAAAAAAAATGATTTATTTGTCAATAAATCCGACCAATCAGATTTAAGGGTCAATTTTAAGGTTCTCCACTGTTCTTTATTCCTCACTACCTGCACCAGTTTTCTAAATTCAAGTTTCTTTTGTCTACTCCATTTTATAATGATCTCGAGCCAAGTAATTCTCTGCCTGCCTCTCGATCATCTTCCTTTGATTTTACCGATTAGAATCTCTACCAGCCTTACCTCAGATCTAATTATGTGCCCAAAGTAATGTATATTCCATTTCTTACACATATCCAACATATTTCTTGGTTTGGTTTGTTTTGAATTTCGCACAAAGCCACACGAGGCCTACTTGCGTTAACCGTCCCTCCTTTAGCAGTGAAAGAGTAAAGGAAAGGCAGCTAGTCATCACTATTCATCGCCAACTCTGGTGCTACTCTTTTACCAACAAATAGTAGGACTGACCGTCACATTATAACGTCTCGACGACTGAAAGAGCAAGCATGTTTGGTGGGACTGGGATTCGAACCCGCGACCCTCAGATTCCGAGTCAAACACCCTAACCACCTGGCCATGAACGAATGTCTTTGCACGTTATGATACTTTATCGTTAGTTTTCTTGTTACGTAGTTAATGTTCATTTTCCATCTTCAACACCACATTTCAAATTTTTCCAACTGTTGTTTTGTTTCAGCAGAAACGGTATATGTTTCCAGCCTGTAGAATAGCAATGACTATACCTAACACTTTAACAAATCTGATAACATATATAAAATAATTTGATTATAGGTGGAAGTATTTACGACACCTTGCTTCATTATGGCAACTTGTATGACAGAATAAGCAGCAAAACGTATTGCTTATGCACTACATGCTGTCCATTTCAAACAAACCTTAGCTTCATGCAATCTGTCCAACACTTAAATTAATCTACAACACTGTCATTTAGTCCTTAATATTAACTTCGGATCAAAACAAACTATGTACTTAGAGCGAAACTAAAAAGTAACTTGGCAATCCGTATGTTGAATACATTTTTCTTACGTTCCTACTTAATAAAGATTACAATTTATCGTTTCGTCATTTGGGTACTGTTGCTGTTAACGATGTTTTCATCCGTACCTTTGCATATCTCTCATCAGCAGAATCTTAGTCCTGATCAGCTGCATTAAGTAGATGGTTTATGTTGAAAGAGATTGGAATGTGCCATGGTGACGAAGGAAGCCTAGGTAACATATAATGCAACATGAGAAAAGCATCCCACTGTCCTTGTCTCCGAGCAACATTGGCAATACAAGACACATAGTTTGTTACCAATCGATTCTGCGTCAGAGAACATCCACAAGTAACAAAACTTTGATGCCACATGGCATCACAGTGGATTATTGTCCTGTCTTATGATGAAACAGGAAATATCTGCCCATGTCTGAGAGAAGCTCTTTCTCCTGTTTCAGATGAAAAATTCAATGGCTAAATGCACGAAGTTATGCATCCATACAGTACTGTGAGGCTAGCTTCTTTTGCTCAGCTGTCTCTTTTAACTAGGATGAAAGTGATAGTATTCCTGTGTGAGTCAGTGTTAGTCAGCACAGTGTACAAACAATCCTTACGTAAGCTTCATTATAAGGAAAATCCCAGTTAAAGATTACTATTCAAGACTTTTCATTTTTTAATCCTGCCATTTACAAATTCAACAACCCAACTGAAATTTGGTCAGTATTCTAGAATGATTTGCTATCTTTGTCCTCCCTTCTCTAGGCAGTTTGGTATTTCAGTTAAAAATCTTCATCATGCAAGCAATCTATGCTCTCGCCCCAGTGACTACAAAACAAACAAAACTCTACTTCAAGCCATTCCTCATATTGTTCTATGTTTGATAACATGATACATTTCAACAAGACGTTATTATTACCTTCAGCATTATAAGAACCCAAAATTCTGGAGATGTATCCACCTGTACTAAAGATCATCAACGGCTTGACCAAACAAAAGCTTACATCTATGGACACTGAAGTTTCTACATTGGAAACAGTTACCACAGCCCTTAGATTAACGTTCCATCAACAATAAAGAAAGCTTCATACTGATCATATGTAATAAGTTCTGCACAAGTGACCTTGTGTGATTAAAATTAACACATTTCAGGTGTAGTACTTGACCTCCCCCCCCCCTAATGGAATATGAAAACATTCATTGTTTCTTATTTCTCACA